GGCAATCTCATTGGCTGGCGCTCACCTATTATCGTCCCTGTTTTGATTTCAGCAAATCAGTTCTAGCGAACGCACACAACCTGATTAATATTCATGAATCCAGTAGCTCATTAATCCTTGGTGCATTTTATATTGTTCTTATTAGTAGAATTCGTATCATTATTATCTTATCAGTATTTTTGTTCGTTTTTCCCCAATTTTAAATTTTTTTACAGAAACACTGAATGACCAAAAAAGCACCACCACCAGTCCGAAGTTCAGTTAAAATGACTAATGAGTAATAAATATTCATACATGGTTATCAAGTTTTAATTATAATTACTAAAGTTCTATTATTAAATAATATTGATTATCATATTATAATGCTTGACTGACTGATGTTAAGAGTGTACTTTCAGATATTTATAAAACTGTGCCATTTTACAAACAAACATACATTATATATTATATATATATATATGATATATATCAGTCTGGCGAGTAAACTAAAAAATGTACTAGCCAATGGCGATTCAATTGCCATGGTGTTTGTAGAGGGCTGCTATTTATAGTTCCCCTTGCCCTCTTGTCTTTGTCAGTTCGTGGTCATTCTCACCCCTTCTGTCTCGGTCTCTGTCTCTGTCTGTGGCTGAGTATGTGTTCCTGTCTTCCTTCCTGGTTGATCTTGTGCCCTTGTCTTGTCTAGTCCTTTGTAGTTCCATGTTCTTGTCTTGCTCTTTTTTGCATTTTGCCTGTTTTTTCCTTTTGCCTTTATTTGAGTATTTATTCAGTTCTTCTAGTCCTGAGCTTTTGTTTTGCATTTTTGTTTGATATTATTTAAGTTAGTTAATTTGGTAATTATTTCTTATTTATTTTGTTACTTTACTTTTTATCAGTTTTTTTGTTTTATTTATCCCCCTGCCTGCATTGGAGTAATTTGTGTTCCTGTGGAGCCTTGTCCTGTCTTGTCTCTGTGTTGTTAGAGTTCCTGTCCTGACCTGTTCCCGTGAGTTCCTGCCACTGTTCTCCCTGCCTGGTACTTGGTCCGCTTCAGAGTCTGCGCTCAAGTATCTGAGCTCAGCTCTATGGTGCCTTGCTCAGTCTTCTCCATCTGCCTGGTCTTGCCGCTTTCTCGGCTGCTATTCTGCCAGTTGATGTCCAAGGCTGTCCCAGTGGTGCTCCCTAGCTGTCTCTCTCTGTTAATTGTGTTCCTGCCGTTGAATCACCTGCAAACCTCACTACCCTCTTGTATCTCTCTGTTTTGTAATAAACGCTTGTCACTCACTCTGCGATTGGGTCCTCCTTCCAGATCCCTGACAGTTAGTCAGCGCGTTTGTTTTGTTTTCATCAGCATGGGTTTGAAAATCACATTTCACTGGTTTGGACTCATGTCATCGAGAATTCACAAAGCTGGAATGCTGCGCTTTGCAACAATAGGCCTACAACTTGTGGTGAGAAGCAGCAGCAGTCATCCAGAAGTGAGCAGAGAAAAAGGTACTCCTCTCAGAAAACGTACAAATAAAGATCATTTTAGATGTTTAATTGCTATTTGGAGCTTTGGGATCACTAGAAGAGGGCTTAATGAACTTGTTTTTGTGAAAACCTCAAATTTGACCAACTGACATTTTTCACTTCTTTTGCCTGTAGCTCAGAATTATTGCGCATTCTGACTCATTTTGCAAGCACGGGTCATATAGGCTATTATAGTATCAACTGTGAGTGCTCTTGCTTTCGTTTTGTGGTGCTTCTATTTAAAATGGACTTTCTGATGTTTTTACATATGTTTTAATTTTTGTAACAAAAAATTATTTGTGATCAAACATTATTTGGAGGACCCCCTGCATTGCCGCTGCAGACCCCCGGTTGAAGACCCTTGTTCTAAAACATTTAGCCATGTGCTCAAACCGGTGCAAATAAACTTTTTTTCTGATCCCGTTACGACTGTTTCTACCCGTTATTTTCTGTTCTTGATATTAAAGTTTTAATGAGATATATATATATATATATATGAATTACACGCTTTCTGAGGACTGAAAAAGGATGAATGCCAGAAGGTGCAGTGGACTGGACACTAACCTGAGGCGTCAGGCCATGACAGATGTACAGGATGGGAATGTTGTCGGAGTCGGGACCTTGATCCACACACAGATCCGGCCTCAGGCTGTTCCTCAGCTACACACACACACACACACACACACAGATGCAATATATGAGCAAGTAGATCAGACCCATTCCTCACTGCAAAACCGGAGAGGAGAAGATGGATTAAGATTGCAAAAAAACATCTTTCTTTCTCAGTCTGCTAATGGCCGATGTGTGTGAAAATGCCCTGGAGCTTAGCTTTCCTTTGTCTTCACAATGGAGCTGTTAATTTTGCTATTCCACAAAAGAATGCCAATTAGGAAAAGCACTCTGCTGGCCTTGCATTGTGATAAATGAAGAAACAGCAGGCCTTGAGTAAGAAAAATAATACTTAGTACAAACTATTTCTATAACTCAATATTATGAGAAACAAAGTCATTTATCAGATAAGCAATGTCTCTAAGTGCTAATAAACTGCATTGAGCTATGTCAAGCTATGTTGTTATATTATTATGCCTTCAGAATGGATAAATATCTACTTTATGGATTTGCACATTTGATTAATACAGAAAATCATGGTAACACTGTTGACATTTTAAGACCTGATAAGCGAAACAAAATAAGATAAAATTATAAATGTATGACACTTGTCTTTAAACAGTTCACTTCCTGAAAGCAGGATGATGAGAAAGTTTTTTGATTAGGAAATAGCTCATTACTTTAAAAAGGGGAAACATATGAGGGTAACATAGCTGATGCATAATCTATAAGTCTCTTTTTTAAAGAAACACATTGTCAACTAAAATCTAAAAGTATACACTGCCGTTCAAAAATTTAGTGTGGGTAAGATTTTTTGTTTTTGAGATAAGTCTCATAAGCTAACCTAGGCTGCATTTAAATAATCAAAAATATAGTGAAAAATATAAAAAATAAATTAAAAGTAATGTTTTGAAATATTATTAAAATCTAAAATACTTGTTTTCTATTTTAATATATAATTTATTTATTATTAATCCAGACGTCATTGTAACATGAGAAATCATTCTAATATGCCGATTTTGTGCTCATGAAAAATTATATCAATGTTAAAAACAATTGTTCTACTTTATTCTCAATATTTTTGTGGAAACTGTGATGCATTCTTTTAAGGACTCTTTAATGAATATGTGACTTTTGATCAGTTTAATACGGCCATAAAGACTAACAAGGACTAATATATGTATCCTAATATGTATACAGTATATACTGTATATATACACATACACACACATTTTTTACATGTGTAAACAAAAGCCTAGTGCCTAGTAAAACCTGGCACTATCTATCTATTCATTAGGTTTTTTTTTTTACACACAAATATAAACGGCATCAGTTCTGCAGATGGGCATTTAGCGATGACTGTTATTAGCCGATAAGTGGATACTCACTACACCATAAGCGATGGTCTCTGTGTAGGTTCTCATCTCAGAATAAATATTCTTCAGGAACCAGCTGAAGGGTTTGCAGCGGAGTCTCTCTCGGAGAGCTTTTCTTTCTCTGATATCACCAATATCGATCCCCGAGTCCTGCACACACAAACACCCACAAGCACATGCAGTCGTGAGCACACAAGAACTCATTTACAGAGTGCAGAATCGAACAGTTAGAACATGATGCTCAGGGCTGCGAGCGAAGAACAGCTCTTATTGTGTCAATGCACATTTATCTCTGTCCTTCAGGCACTTACGGTAACTTCAAGTGAAGTGATGCTATATGCTGCGGCATTTCAAGACGTCATGGGAAGAATATGTACGTGTAACGAATCAATCCACTGAAGGCAAGCGTAGTGAAGAACCCAAGTGCAGTTTATTTACAGTGTGATCCAAACATCCAAACAATAATCCGAGACTTGACTTGACATGAACAGACTTGACTTAACTTGACGATGCATGAAACAGACTTGACATGAACAGACTCGACGTGGCATGAACAGACTAGACTCACCGACAGCAGGTTACAACATCAATACACGACGAAGACTATGGGAACATGATGGCTACTTATATCAGACAATGAGGGTCACATGACATGAACAAACCAATGGGAAACAAGACACATGACTAAGACAACCAATCAGAACATGACAATGAACAGAGGAACCAATGGCATGAAGACAAGAGGGCAAGGGAAGCATGACACTAACAGCATAAAACAATTACAAAATAAAAGACATGGAAAACATGAACATGAAACAAAACCCAAACACCAAACCCCACATTACATATCCCCCCCTCTAAGGGTGGCTCCAGACGCCCAAACAAAACCCAAAAAGTCCAGGAGGGTGGTGGAGTGGAGGCGGAACTGGGGGAGGGACGGAGGGCCAGGCCCATGAAGCGGAACAGGCAGAGCAGGGAGCAATGGCGGAGCAGGCAGATCGGGCTGCCATGGCGGAGCAGGCAGATCAGGGAGTCATGCCGGATCAGGCAGATCAGGCAGCCATGGCGGTGCAGGCAGAGCAGGGCGGCCGGGTGATGACGGCAGAGCAGGAAGCCATGGCGGAGCAGAGACATGGACAGACCACTTGACTGTAACAGAACAAGTAGAGAGTTCTTGAATGGCCTCCTTGGCCATGAAAGGACAGACAGTGAGTTCATGAATGGCCT